ATATATATATATATATATATATATATATATATAATTTAGCAATATAATAAATGGTAAGAGAATATAAAAGAAGCAATGGATGTGTCAGGAATGGAAAAGTTTACAAAGCATACAACAGTTATAATAAAGAAGATCTTGAAAAGGTTGTTTATTTAGTGCAAAGCAAAACACTTACTCTTTCTGAGGCTTCAAAGAAATATAAAATTCCAATTTCCACTTTGAGTAGAAAGTATAAAATGAAAAATGGTCATAAAACTACAGGTCAACCAAAGATGTTTAGTGATAAGAAGGAAAAAAGTTTTGTTTACAACCTAAAAATTACCAGTGAGTGGGGATTTCCGTTTGATTCATTAGATTTGAAAATTATGGGTCAGCGATATTTGAATAATACTGAAAGTTTTTTTTTTTAAAGATAACTTTCCAGGAAAATAGTTGGCCACAGGCTTTTTAAAACGTAACAGACATGTTTTATCAAATCGATATGCAACAAATATTGCAACAGATAGAGCAAAAACCTTATTTAATATAATTAATAATTTCTTTGATAATCTTGAAAAAAATATGACAAATGTTTCATTTGACTGCATCATTAACTATGACGAGACAAACTTGAGTGATAATCCTGGAGCTAAAAAATATATATTTAAACAAGGTACTAAGTACCCAGAAAGAGTTTTAAACAGTTCTAAAACCTCAACAAGTTTAATTTATGATGAAACTGCTACTTGGATAAAAATACTTGGATACTTAGATGGAAGGTGGACCAGATAAAACTCTTTACACCGAAGTAAAAGTGGATAGTTTAATATTTTTTTGCTTTGAAGATTTGTTTTTTTAAAATAATTATTCCATATATATAATACAAAGAAGAAAATAAAACTGTAATTGGTGACAACTTATCTTCACATTTCTCAGAAAATGTACTACATGCCTGTGAAGAACATGATATCATGTTCATATGTCTTCCACCTAAAACCTCTCATCTCCTGCAACCATTCGATTTTGCTTTTTTTGCTCCCTTAAAGCATTATTGGAGGTTGATCCTTACTGAGTGGAAAAAACACGACAGAAGGAGACTTTACCAAAATCAGCTTTTCCTCATCTTTTGTCTCAGTTAATAGAAAAAATGTCACAAGGTAATATCTATAAAAAAAACATTATTTCTAGTTTCAAAAAGTGTGGCATATATCCTTTGAATGATTACCAGAGTCAAATGTTGAGAGCAAGACAATGGAACTCAATACATTCAATATAGTATTAGACATGCTAAAAGACTTCTACAAAAGTTTCCAGACGTAAACGATGCAATGTATCACCAGGTAAAGGAATTTGTGCACAAGATATCATATTTCAAATAACTCCAGTTTGTCCAAAGAAAGTAAAAAAAAATTCAATCTTTGTGTCAGAAAAAAATTTAGAAAATGTAACTGCTTCCTTTGATATTATAGGAGAGATAGCTGGTACTAGTAAAGAATTTTTTACACCTCCAAATAAAAGTGCAAGATCATCATTCAATAGCATTTCTAAAGGTATTGTTAGAAGCTCAGAAAAACTAAAAAATTATAAAGAAGTTAAAGTATATTGCATTAGTGAAACTGTTATTGTAAAAAATCATTTCCAAAATTCACACTCGGTTGTTATCATAAACGATGTTGAATGTAGCATCTATTGGGTCATTTTTTTTAAAGTTAACCTTAGTAGAAAAGATTTATTTTGCCAAATAAAGGGTACAGAGATTTTATAAGAAAAGACATGATAATTAAACAAGCTCCTCTAATAGTTAAATTCATTGAAAATAAACTCACGAAAATACTTGAAACGATTGATTATGTAGCCGTAAAAAGATTCACTGAAAAAGCACGAGAAAATATGTTCTTAAAAACAAGAGACAGATTAATTAAAAAATTCAAACTTCTTCAAGATCAACGCACTAAGCGAACACCCTATTTGACAATCTATACTAAAGAAGCTGATTTAAGTTTATGCGACACAGAAATTCTAAAACATCTAAAAAGTCATCGTAACCTTGGACCAAAATTTGTACCAACAATAAAATCTCTTCCGTATTTTGATCTCGTCTCAATAAACGAGCCATCTGCTCTAAAACTTGAATACAACAAAAAAGATGAAGCTGAGGAAATAATTTTTGAGAGAATTAAAACTAAACAAAAATAATAAAAATGACAACCTTACTCGTAAACAGCGGAAAGCACTTAGACAATTAAAAAACAATAACAATATTGATATACACCCATTTGATAAAGTTAGGACTTTGTAACAATCCCCCATGATAAAGCAATATAAAAAGTTGGATACCAAATTGGGCCAACTAAATTTAATAATGAGGATCGAACACAAAGTTACGCAATGAAAATCAAAGTCCAACTATCAAAATTAAATAAAAAAGGTCGGTTCACAAAAAGTGAATACCAGCAAATGTATCCCAGTGACTCAATACCACCTCGCATGTATGGTGTAGTAAAGGAACATAAGCCTGAACCATCTTACCCAATGCAAATTGTAGTATCTTCAATAGGCACACCAAACTACGGAATCTCAAATTACTTAGTAAAACTAATACAACCAAAACTAAATGAAAACCCAACTCGATTAAAAAATTCGCGACTATTTGTAGAAAAAAATAAAGCGTGGGACATATCCAGTGACGAAATTTAGGTATCATTGGACGTCATAAACTTATCCCCTTCAATTCCTTTTGAAGAAGCAACTGAATTACTCATAAGTTTATTGGAGGTGAGCGATAATGTTAAAAAACGGAATCTTTTCTTCAACATCTTGAAAATAGAACGCGTAATTCAGCGCTGAAAATCAACCCGCTTATTGATATTTTATAAATACGTAGATGACAGTCATGCTAGAGTACCTAACATTGCTCAGGCTGATCAATTTAATCAACAGCATCCAAAAATACAATATACCATCGAATTTGAAAATGACAAAAAAACACTAAATTTTTTATACAAATGCATAATAAATATAAAAAATGGTAAATATGATTTTAATTTTTAAGTTAAGGCAACATCAAACCATGATAAACAAATTTTAAATGAAATATATTTAAGGGTTTCTTACATATAGCATTTAATGTGTGCAGCCGGAATCATAAAGATAAATGAACCGAAATTCCTTATTCAAGTATTTGTTGAAAATGGCTACAAACAGTCCAATCTCATAAAAATCATAAAAGAAATAAAACGAAAGTACAAAAAAATCTCTAGTGACTACTAAAAACATTGACAACATCACCAGTTCGTGTCCAATGATTTCGTTACCTTGGGTGTAAAAATTGTCTACTAAATTGTTTAAAGTGTTTAGGAAGGCAGGATTTAAAACGGTTTTTAAATCAAACTTGAACCTAGGTTCAAAATTACCATTAAGAAATAAATTCAAAAAACAAATGAACACCTACCCAGGAGTATACCTTATTAAATGTCATCGTAGCAAAAAGTATATAGGTGAAACAAAAATGCAAATAAAAACACGCATACAACAACACAAAAACAGTACAATAGGTAATAAAACAGAACGATCTGCATTAGCCACATACATGAGACATAGAACACATGAAAATAACTGGAACAGTTGCAGAACTTTAAGAGTCGACGCTAAAATGATTGATAAGAAAGTTCGTGAGGCACTTCAAATGCAGTACCACCAATGTGCCCCTCAACAAAATGGTATCAATTTAGATGAGGGACAATATGTGTCAACAAAATTTTGTGCACCATTTCTAGCACACTTACGACAGTAAAAGACGACACCATCATTGACATAAAATAGAACTGCCGTTTTTAAAAATAACATATAAACAAAAAAAAACAAAAAACTTTTAAGCTGAAGACGCTGGTCACAACAATCCAGCAAAAATTTCTTTTAAAAAATAAATTTAGTATCGAGAGAAAATCGTATTTGTTAATGCTTATAAAATAATGATATATAAAGGTGGAAATATATTCATAATGTTTTTACCTTCGCACAACTTTCTTGTAAAGTAATAGTTTCATCTTTTTTTTTTATAATATTTTCTTTAATCTATCTGTAATCTTTTATAGAATAAAGTGTTTTTATATTTTAAAATAGCTGGAATATAATAATAAAAAATATAATAATGGAGAACATAATAATAGAGAATATAATGATATAATAATAGAGATCTTTCTTTTCCGTCTTACTATTAACTTTATACGCCTCTTAATTCTTTTTCTTTTTTTTAACTTTTTTTCGCCTTTTTTTTTCTCTCCTTTTTTGATTTACTTTTTTTACTCATATGTTTACTTTAGCTTGCTCAATTTTGTTTATTTTTATATCACACAGATGTGAGAGTAGTACTTTACGTCATTTTCTCGAGAGATTAATTTTGAGTAACATGCTAGGACCGACTATTATCTGCGTTCGACAATGAGAGAACTTTAGTTACAGTCGACTAATGAAATATCTATTTAGAACCAACCGGTGAAAAATCAATTTTCAACCGACTATTCAAAATTTAGTTAACTAAATAAAAACCAACTTTCTCCATCTCCACAAATTTATACAGAAGTCAAATAAATCGTTAATTTATTTGCAACCAAAACTTCTCATTTCTAATGATGTTTTGACACGCAAACAACAAGTCACATGATTTCAAATTACCAGTTTGTTTCCACTTTACATCAATAGTTACAAGTTGACAATACGTTTGAAACACCACCATCTCAATTTGAGTCTTTTTCATCTCAACCATCTAAACTGGTTTTTTAACTTTAAACACTAAGTTTACTAGTGAATAAAATTACTTGTTACTTTTGACAACACTGGAAATTGAAAAGGTAAAATCAAAGTTTAAAAATTTGAATTTTTCTATGCAAAAAAATGATAAAAAACTTATATAAATGTAAAATTAAAGGGGTGATTAAAATTTGTAAAATTTATTTTCTGTTTTTTATAAAATTATTATTTTCTGGTTTTAGTTTTTCAAATTGAAAAGAAAAAAAGCTCACCAGATATTAGTTGGTCAACAAGAAACGATTTGTTTATTACTCGCAGTTGTTCTGCAAATTTATTTAAATTACCAATCCCAACAACACCACATTGTTCTAAAATTCGTATTAGTTTTATAGGCGACGTAATCTTGTCTAGATCGTCATCTTTTATATCTGAGTTTAAAAATACAAGTTGGTCAACATCATCTTTCGTCAAATGAATTGAAACTTTTATCATACTGCGTTGATAGACATCTTCAATAAAGGTTGTTGTCATGTTCTGCTCTAACCTCATTTAATTTGTTTCATACAACCTATATAATAAAAAGATGAAATCATTAAACATTCACACTAGGGATTGTAATACCGGTTATCGGTTTACCGGTTTACCGATAAAATTTTTGTAATTTACCGGTAAATCAAGCTTTTGTTTGGAATTTATGGATTGTTTTAATTCCTAATTGCTAAATATTTTTATCTTATAAAGAACTATAAACATTATATAATTTTTTTATTTTCTTGTCAATTGAAAGTTACAAATATAAAAGTGCAATGCAGAGTTAATAACAAGACCAAAAGTTGCCACACGTTACAATGACACGTTACAGAGTTGTTAACAAGGCCAAGGCCACACGTTACAATGCCAAGACCAAGACCAAGGGCGAAAGTTAAAAGGCCAAGTACAACGCCAAGGCCAAGAGTTTTAAGGTCAAGGGCATGATTAAGAGTTTCAAATCCAAGGCCTACGCAAAGTTTTAAAGATCGAAAACTTTAATTTTTACCTTACGTTAAGGCCAGTTATTAACAAAACTGTAAGTTGCACGTGCTGTAATAATAAATCCACATTTTGTAAAAATAGACCAAAGTTATGCGCAGAATTTAATGAAGTCAATAAGAAAATACATGTTATTTTTAAGACCAAGGCCAATACAATTAAGGCCAAGGCCAACAGTTTTAAGGCCAAGACCAAGGCCAAGGCCTCAATTTTTGGCCTTAATGAAAGGCCTAGACGAAGGACTAACAACTCTGGTTTAAAGCATTCTTTTCTTTGAACTTAACGCTTGAGTAAACTTAACGGCTCTCGTTAAACAGTGTTTAAAATAGATATTGGCTTGTTTTGCAAACTTTTTATTGTTAAATAATTTTTTTTTTTTAATTTCGTTTTAAAAATTGTTTTAAAGACTTTTTAATGGATAAAAGTTCAATTTGGAATTACTATAATTGTACGGAAACGAGAGATATAGCCATTTGTAAACAATGCGCAAAAAAATTAAAACAACAGGTGGTAGTACAAGTGGTTTACATGCCCATCAAAAGAGTCAACATAAAATTAATGTGTTAAAAAGAAATATAGAAGAACACGCAAAAGAATCGCCAGTTGCAATAGCATCGAAAATTACTTCTTTTATCAAAAAAAGAGACAAATCTCTTGAAGCTGTACTTTCAAGAATGATTGCACAACATAGCATTTCTTTCGATAAAATTTGCACATCTGAAGATTTAAAAGATGTTACTAAAAACAAAAGGGTACATAGAGTTACAAAAATCGCCTAAAACTATTTACTTAAAAGTAATAGATTATGCCGATAAAATAAGGAAGGAAGCTGTGAAGGAAATTTCTCAGAATAAGCTCAATAAAAAAGCTTATAGCCTTACCGCAGATGAATTGACATCAAATAAAAACCGCCGCTATATAAATATTATTAATCATGAAAAAAACGGTAAATTTTGGAACCTTAGATTGACTCGGATTCATGGATCCGCACCTGCTGAGGTATGCGCTGAACTAATTGAAAAGAAGCTTAAAAAGTTTAATATAGCTTTTTCAAATAATTGTGTGCTTAACATCAGGCGGAGCTACTGTTCACAAGAGAATGGTAAAGTTACTTAGTAAAAACCATCAGTTATGTATCGTACGTGGCCTACATTTGACAATCATAAAATTAATATTATTCATAAAAATAGTATTAATCATAAAATTAATATTAGTTCAACAGATGTACAAGGTGTTAATGAACATAATGGTAATGTATTACTTAATGTTGATTCTGATTTTCCGAAAACTGAACTTAAAAATTTTGAAGTACATCATGAAGATATCGACACTACCCAACTTGTTCTACAAAACACAGAGCTTATTTCTTTAACTACAAAAATTTGGAAAGTTGTATAACGTTTCAGAAAGTCACTACCAAAAATGATAAACTACTGCTAAAATACGTTAAAGAAACGATAGGAAAAGAAATTTCTTTAATGTTAAACTGTAAAACTAGATGGAGTAGTTTGTTTAGCATGCTGGAAAGATTTTTAAAACTTAAAGATGCTGTACGAAAAAGTCTGATAGATTAATAAATTAAAATTGATTTTAATGAAAAAGAAGTAAAGTTACTACAAAATATAATATCAAGCTTGCAACCTATCAGATTGGCCGTTGAAACATTCTGTATTGAAAAGATTAATTTATATGAAGCCAACCTTACATTTAAATTTATGTAAAACCAGTTAAGCAACCAATATACTTTTTTAAGAAATGCAAAAAATGATTTAATAAGTTGTATTAAAGAAAGAAGAATGATTTTTAAACGTGTTGCACTATAAAACAGACCTTGATGCTATTTTTTTTTGTTAAAGACAACTATGGCATTTTTAATATCAGCAGTAAAGGCGTAATTATTAAAACTATTGTTGAAATTAAAGAAAATATTTTTTACAATAATGACAAGACATTGGATAGTTTAAGCTTTCTACGAAGCTACTTTTTGAAAAATGGTATTTAATAAAAATGGTATTATAAAAATTGCATTGGTTTATTGATATATGAATCGCTAACTTGAAAAAGGGGACATTTCCTTCAAAACTTCACATAACATGTGAATTTTTACAGGACATGTCCCCTTTTTTAAGTTAGCGATTTATATAAAGTTTATCGGTAATATACCGTTAACCGGTATTACAATTATCATTTACCGAATTACCGGTAAATCCGAAAGTCGATAAACTTACAAACCCTAGTTCAACTGCTGGTAAAACACGTTTTATTTTAAACGCGTTTTATATTTTAAATGTTATATACTATATAAAACATCATTAATTCAACATGGCGAAGTTGTTTTATATTAGTATAAAAAATTTATATTGACAAAATAACCTTGCAGTGTTGTTTTATTGTTGTTTAATATACCTTTTTACCTTAACAACTTAATACGCATTTAAATTAAAACGTATTTTATCGTCAGTATGAACGGGGTATAATTTGGGTTGTTCGCCGAAAAACAAAACTTGCGAACTTTCGCATCTTTATCGACCGTAATAGAATTGTTATTGCGGAAGTTGCACATGCGAAAATGCACATTCCGTAACGCACTATATAAAAATATAAATTGATAAAATTCCGTAACAAAGCATTGCGAAAGAAAACTTGCGACACAAATCCTTTCGTAAGAATATTTACGAAATAGTTCCTTACGGAAGGAGCATTCCGGAATGTGCAGTTACGAAAAAGACGCAAAAGATTTTATGTTACCATATATTTAAGATATTAACTGTTAACAGTTTAATAATAATTAATATAATTATAAAAAAATGTTGTCAAATTGTTCTTCAAAAGTTTATACAAATATACCTAATATATATATATATATATATATATATATATATATATATATATATATATATATATATATATTATATATATATATATATATATATATATATATATATATATATATATATATATATATATATATGTATATATATATATATATGTATATATATATATATATATATATATATATATATATACATATTTATATATATATATATATATATATATATATATATATATATATATATATATATATATATATATATATATATATATATATATGTATATATATATATATATATATATATATATATATATATATATATATATATATATATATATATATATAGTATATATATATATATATATATATATATATATATATATATATATATATATATATATATATAATATATATATATATTAGGGCTGTTCAGTATGCTAATTTGTTTTCAGAATATAGCTAATTGAAGTTTTTCCCATTCAACTATCATATTGTGGTTCAAAATAAATTTTTACTAAAATTTTTATTTTCCCTAAAGGTCCCTCAAAGCCACTAAACATTTGACAGGTCGCTAATATTATTATAAAAAAAATTTATTTAAAAATATGTCAACTTGATACTCAAAAGAAGCAAAATTTTAAAAATTAGATTCATTTTTTATAAAAAAAACTTATTATTAAAAATATTACCTTTTCATATATGTATATATATATATATATATATATATATATATATATATATATATATATATATATATATGTATTTATATATATATATATATATATATATATATATATATATATATATATATATATATATATATACATATATATACCGTTAAGTTGGACTCTCAATGAACAGATAAAGAGTATGCCTTTCATTTTAGAAAATATAAAGGCGATGTGTGATAAACAATTAAATACTTTATTATAAAGAACGAGAGATCTCTCTAAAGGTATATGATATCAAGAAAGAGTAAAAGGAGAAGAAATATATGTGATACAGCGGGAAGTGAACCTGGGTCTCTGCGGCTAAATGTTATTCTTAACTGAATGAGCTATAAGTTCATTTAACTAAGTGAATAGTAATATTTATTTATTATGTAATTAAGAAACTATATAAAACAGAATTTACAGAAAGAGATACGTATTCAAATAGGGTTCTATAAATCAGGAAAATGAATAGTAATGTGAACCTTTAGTTGCTTATAATTCATAACTGGACTTGAAGACTAGTTACTTTTAATGGAACACAATAGGTTGTAGGAGCCTCAGGGAAATGATATTCAGAAATGATTGTATTAGACTCAGAGTTAGCTAAAAATTATTACAAAGTCTTTAGGACAGATGTCTAGTACAAAAAGCACAAGATTTTAAGCAAAATGATTTATATTATTTGAAAAAGTTGTTTTACGTACATTTCATCATAATTTAAGTAGAACTTAGTAAAGCAAGGGAAGCGCTTAAAATTAAGCACAAGGAACTCAATCTTAAAAGAATAACTAACAGAAGAGAGGTTGTCACTATTATGAAGATGACGAGAGATCTGTAATATAGAACATGGAGGTCAAAAAATGCTATCTTAAGTAAAAAGAGTTTGATGAACAAAAGTCGCAATGGCAGCCTGGATCTTTGCAGCGAATTACCACGTATCTAACTGATAGAGCTATACAGTCTTAAATTTTAATTTATATCTTATTAAAATTAAAAAGCAATATTTTCTAAGATCTATA